GGATGCTCCAAAGGATAATCATTATTTTTCTTACATAAAACCACCGGGCTAGCATAACTACTTGAGATGGGCGTTATGATCTTTTTACGTAGCATATCGGTAATATGCCATTCTATAATTTTTTCCTTATTCTTATCATACCGGTATGGTTTTTGACGAACCGGCAATGCATCTCCGGTGTCAATACTATGGTTAGTAACCTGAGTAAATCCTGGAATATCACTAAATAAGGAAGCAAATTCACTTACCACTTGTCGGATTCTATCTTGCTCGTCATTAGGCAGGTGGTCAAGATTTAACCTTGGCGGTTCAACCTTTTCTACACGCACTGGTTTCATTGTCAGCTTAAGGGACGCTTCATTAAAATCCAGTGTAGCTTGTGCGTCTGAAAGAAAGTCTATTCCTAGATTAAATGTGCTTGCAAATTCTTTACTATAAAAAACATCACCTTTACTTGTTCGTCCTTGATACGGATATACAAAGGTACTACTTTACCTACGCACTTACATTGTTCTCCTTGCGCCGCTAATACTGTCGTATTATCCGCATTATATATGCGGTATTTGCGAAAATACTTTCTAAAAAAGACTTCTGCCACACAGGAACACTGCGCGCCGGTATCCAGGAGTGCGGTGGCCGGGATATTATTTACCAAGACTTCAATCTTCGGAAGAGTCAAATTTTTCACCATTACTGTATTTAACTTGTAGGAAGAGGGGTTTTCGTGGCCTTCGGATTTCCGCACCCTCTCGTCAGCAGAAATCCGTTTTAGTTTAAATTATTTTTCCTTTCCGTGCTTTCCTTCTTTTCTCCACTGGCCTTGAGACTTTTTTCCTGGGTTGCTATTGAACTGTCGACGTTCGCCGGCTGTTTTTGAATGCTCGGGTTTCCTTGCCCACTGATTCGCTTTTTTCTCCGTAGCCATGTGCTTGAGTTTGCTGTAGTCTTGGCGTACCAAATTGGTTTCGCTGTTGATATTGGCGTCTTCTTTCGACGTCCGCCGTTCTTCTACTTTCAAACTGGATTGCTAGCTCAAATAACTTTTTCCAGTGTAGTCGGATTTCTCAATTCAATAAAGTCTTGCACTTGGGGTAGTAACCTCGGCAAAATCACTTGAATTATTTCAGGATCCGGACGGTTTCCATACAAGAGCTTGAAAACGTGAATTTTTCTTAAAATAAAGCTCGAGAGGTTTTCGATTCTTTGTTGATATATACTGAAAAGTTCCGTTTCTAATTTCGCACGATCCCTTACAACAGGGAAGGCTTTTAGTAGGGCAGTCTTGAAATTTTCGTAAGTATAGGTGGGACTTCCTGCTTGACCCAAGAGACTTCTGCCGATACATTTGAACCAGTTAAGCGCTTGGCCCCTCAAAGCGCTGGTAGCTAAGGTAACTTTTTGAAACTCGTGCACGGGGTAGAGCATGAAGTGGTCATCCAATTTTTCCAAAAAACTGGTTACCGGTGAGTTTCCATTAAACGTTGCTTCTGGTTTCATCGAAGCGCGCATGGTCTGGACGATGTAACCCAAATCCTTCCAGGGCGGCAGCTGGCATTTCTGGATTCTGAGCCGTTTCTGCAGGCAGCACAGGTTCTTCTTGAAACTCGGCCATGGTTATTCTTCGTTCGGGCGCCACTATCAGGTTCAATGTTTCTTCTAACCTTCTTCGGAAACATACAAGGACCTGACTAGAACAGAGAGCTTACTAAAGCTATGTTCACTAATTGTAGTAAGTAGACAGGATACAGACGAAGGGTATACAAAACCCTTTATTTTTTCTCTTATATACAATGACTTCCGTACTTCGGAATACAATGACCCTCCACTCGGGGTCTAACGTAAAAGATAAAAAATAAAACTAAACTCTAATTTAACTTTAGAACGTGGAAGATTGGCCTTATAATAACAGGAAGCGTATGTAGCACAGAGACTGTGAACACTACAATACGTTTAATTTATCAAGAGGATTAAAACCTCTGGCCTGGAAGGCAAATAGCAACTGCGTAACTTCTAAGGTAAGCGGCCTGCTTCGAACTCACTGCTTCCTCTCTTCTGCTTGGCAAAAAGGCCACACTTAAATACTTGGCGTTCGCCAGACAAACTTTGCATAAAACTCCTTCACGCTTATAATTCTGGCCGGAAGTAGAAAATAAGAAGTGATAGTAAAGATTTAAAATAAAAATAAACGTTAGTAAAACTTAGATCCTTACAATTCCGATAATCTACCCCTGTCTGGGTCACTAAAAATTGAAAGATATGGAAAAAACATAAAACACCACATACAGTTAAAACAATTAAAACAACATTTTTAAGGTATATTTTAAATTTTATAACAGTTATTTTAAATTTTAAGTCCCTTTCCTATCGATTCTTGTTTCCACTTACAACTCCCTACCGGAATGAGTTTTTAGAATCGCATTGGATGCAAATGAATTAGAAGAACTATTTAAGGAAGCTTTAACTTACTTCGTGAGAGAGAGTTTGGAATCCTGAGTAGCTCGTGTTTGCCTTCGGGCTAACTCTCTCTAAGCTGTTACACCCGGGCCTTATATTACGTGCCTTTTTTAGATAGTCGCCGGCTACTTTAAGTTAAGGTCCAACTACGTTAGATACTTATGTTTAGCTTCGGCTAAGTCTCTCTTAGTTAGTTATAGTTTAGTTCTTATTTCTGAGTTTAAGCCCAAGTAGAGGCTTTGTTATAAGCCTAAGAAAGGGGCTGACTGTTATTTTACTTTAAGTGAAATAAAGGGTAGTTTAACCCTTCTTGAGTTTACATTTTTAGTTATTTGAACTCAGCGATTAAGTCGCTAAACAGTTCACTAGGTTCCTCGACGTTCATCTTAGACAAAAAGAGTGTGGAATCCTACAGCATTTTACAATTAAAATTACTTTGTAGGCAACACAACAGTTTGGGAGCGACTAAGAAAGCAGATTTTTCGATGCACAAAACTGAATGTTTACACAAAACTGAATATTTATTCTGTCCTTACGTACTCAAAAACACTGTTACTCAAAAACATTGTTAAATTGCATTCGATATTGGTCAAATTGGATATTTTCGTTGAAATACGATACCCGAAATTTTTCGCGATTACAATACTTCCTTTACTTCGTACAAGGAAGTAAAAGTAAAATTTCCAAATGATATTTCATAAACAATTCTTCAGGTTTGCAGTCGTAGCAAGCGCCATCAACGTATATAGATCTAATCACTATCCAAGGAGCAATCAAACGTTCACAGCACAACTAAAGAGCGTACCATTCCTTCTGCGGCATTGTTATGTGCATTTAGAAAATTTTAGATGTCGCGTTATCATCCTGAGTATTACAACATAGTTATTAGAGAGCAGGTTTTAATAAACAATGCTAGTACTTTTTGAGACGTGCCAGTATGTGTTGTAAAGTACGTGTTACTCATGTCAGGTTTAGACCAATTTCTAGCTTAATAACAATTATCAATTAATTATTTTCAGACAAGTAACTTATTCAAAATTTTGCTTTTGCTGGCTTTTAACTGTAACAGATACATTTATTATAAATATATATTATTCACTCAAAATATATCCTCTGTTATTAAATAATGAATATTCTTTATATATGTTATTATCTTTGTTCGACGCATTGTGGAAAGAGGTGGCACCTAGGCAACAAATGTTGAACATTCCTAATTCTCCACCTGATTATTTTAATCCGTAAGAAACTTATATCAGTGATATTCATATAAGCCTGCATAATATTTGCTCAGCAGAATATAAATATGTTAAATTCCTGGGCAGAAATGTACCGTTTAAAGCTCAAGTGTTTTGCTATAAATTTCAGCAGATTCGTTATAAAAAAAAAACTTCAGTATTTCAGGGTATTTTCTTAAGATTTGTGTCCTTTTTATTTTGCAACGTACATAATATGCCTTATCTGTAGGTTAATAGTTATGACAAAGCATGCAAGAACATAGCAATGCAAAGCCTGTCTTCAGACGGGAGCATTTTAAGGATTATTTGCTTTCGTAAAGGACATTTTGATAGAAAGTATCTGATATTTATCTTACTTCTTAGAAAAGCCGCGAGACTGAGCCCAAAATAAAAGACAGTTATAATATATCTTATTTATTTGGCTACCCTTGGTATATTATTTTTTAAACGAGAGAAGGAGTAGTTTTATATAAAATGCATATATATCTGATTGTAATAGAGTTTACATCGTATATGCGCAATCTTTAGCTTGTAAGCTAGGCGCAATACACTAAGTATGTTAATTAACTACGACAGCCTCCCTTGGTTTGGAAATTATATTTAGTTAAAAATTTCTGAATCTTATCATTTTCACAAGAAAATTTAGTAGAATCATACTAGTCAATAAAAACAAATAATCAAAATTTTTTTCATAGCTGGCACATTTGTATTATTTTCAAAGAAAATTATCTTACGAAGAACTCAGTGTATAGTAGCGTACAGCAATAAAATAAACTTCGATTTCAATATGTGATAGTGTATATTATTGCAGTCTGTCGGCTCGCTTATATATTTCTAAATGATCAATTCAGATAACGTGAAGAAATTAAAAATTTGGTACAAACATCACTTGCAAACAGCACAGTAATTAACTTGAAACACCTTAAGCGGAACGCAGATATAAATAATTTCTCTTCAATGCGGGAGAAACATTGGTGATTGTCAAAATCACTTGCAGACTAAATCTCATAGTTGAATAACATTTAAAACAGCAACAACAACTAATCCAAACCCTCTCAGCTGTATTTGTACAAGAAATGAGCTTCCAGAAAACTCAAGAAAAATTTGTTGTGTGAAGAACGTATCTTGTGTTTCACTTAAGCATTTTTATATTCCGAACATTTTCTTTCTCAGATTAACAAAATTAACAATTACATATACTAGAAATGAACACACGCATATATATTAAAAATAAATGTGGCCACAAATTCAAAAAAAAAAATAAATAAGTAATGATTACAATGATGTAATAAAAAGAATTGAAGTATTTACAGACAGATAAAATAGCATGCTTTCAGTAGAGAACATTTCACGACTTAATGTCGTAGCTGGCCTTGCCCTCTCCATTTCGTTATACAAACGGAAAATTTCATAATCCGTCCACTTCGACTGCGCATCATACATCTCTGTGGAACAGAGAATTTATCAGCACTGACTATGAGTACAGTAACCCAACAATGCCCTGCCATCCGTCCGAATTTGATCTTTATACGAAACTACAAGCTCTATCAAATCTTAAGTCATGTACACTCTATACCGACGGAAAAGAAGGGGATCTAGGAACAGCTTTTGTGCGAAAAAAAGGCAGCAGCATTTTACACATCTGGACTCGAAAAATAAATTCTATCACTACAATGTTTTAAGCTGAGCTTGTAGCACTCAGAGCAGCAGTTCACTACTACATTCTAGTTGGCGACAAATTAACTCTATATTTTGACTCAGCATCAAGCCTCTACTCTATACGAGGTGCAAATAAAAGCAGACAGACATAATCAAGGAGATCCAAAGAATGCTACTATCCTTGTCGGCAAATGTCACACCAAAACTTCAATGAGTTCATGTACACACTAGAACATGGCAGTGAAAAAGGAGCTGAAACTGCCATATTGGCAAACACGGACGAATGTATGCGGTCACTGTAAATACAAATAAGAAAAAAGATCATAAATTGCAACAGCATCAGAGAAAGGTTGGTTTCCAGTGGGTGCCACCATACTGTGATCTCTATGGTAACAAGAATGCGGGCTTTTTGGTAAAAAAAAGGAACTGATATTCTTCAGAATTTTATAGAGATCTTCCGCTCTATTCTGCTAAAATAGAAGTAAAGAGAATTTACAATCGTTTCGTCGTGTGGCTTTCCACGCTGCTGGTGTTAAGCCGTGGAGTGGGCTTTGTGGTACTCACAGTGTCCAGGACGCGTATTGGCAGACCGCACATTCAGTTGACTAGTCTTAAAGGAATTTTGCATACTGCGCATGCCCAGAAGAGAATATGGCGCAATTTTTAACGGTTGATATTCTGTTATCTGGGTGTAAACAGTTCGGAGTTTCAAAATTTGTCAGGTTATAAGTTGCTTCATTACTTGGAGTGTAAATATCGATTGTAAACTACGCAAATTTTTGTTTAAGACGGATTACAAAACGGGAGACATTACAAGATGTATTAGCTGAACGTTTAGTGATTGTAGTTCTGAAAAATAAAAGCAACTGAGTATTTATCATACGTTCCTTTCCCATATACTTTAACAAATTAAGGAATAAATCCAGTTTAAATTACTGAATTAAAGTCAAAGAAATTATTACGAATAACTGATATTAAATATAATGTTTATGAATAAAATAAACCAAAATGGAATGAAATAGAAGCAAATGCAATAATCACAAACAAATTTTCGTAGTGTTGCAGTTGCAAACAGTTGATAAGACCTACATGATGAACAGGCTTCTGTAGGGTTACTTTTGATTAGTCGCCGATATTTCCTTTCGCGTTAGCGGTACACCATTGAGTATGCGCAGTAAAGGAAATTCGTTAACCTTGATCGACTCAATGTGCGGTTTGCCATTAAGCGTCCCGGACTTACCCCGTGCTATAACGGGACATGGCCCCTATCCAGCGTATTATTATAGGCACACATCTCCACTACAGATGCTTGCGTGTGCGGCCAACTTGCATCACCAGACCACTATATTTACTCTGCCCACTCACAGCAGACAACCACATTAAGCCCTCACTCCTCCTACAGACGTCTTTTCAACGGTTTCATTATTAAAAACAAACCTGCAATCAATAAAATCTGTAAGGTCATTTGACCAGTTCGCCGCGCTATGGGCCAAGATATATGCGACGCTGCATAATTCCACAACGTCCGCCACTAACAGAAGTCAACATGAATATCACCCTGTGCTGCTAACATGTCACCGCGCTCGGCATGCTCATATACTCAGCAACCTATGCGCTCCACAAATATATATTCGTCGGACCTCTACGTGTCCCCCATATCAATGTCCAGCAATCACATGTTATTCCCATCTTATGGCCCCTCGTCTGTAAACACACACCACAATGTACAGTATATGTGATCAATGAGGCCAAATATGTATCTGACATGTAGTATATGTGTATTATTATTAAGTGTGCTTTATTTGTCATAAGACTTCAGTGTTAATCAGGTGTATCCCTCTCCCCCCTTTTTTCCCCTCTCTGCGTGTGTGTTTTCTGTACATTTTCATGTTTTTGTGTTTTCATACATTTAGTACCTAGCTCTGAGCCCCTCACCTGTAAATCCGTCCCACAAGTCTCATACCTGTAATTATGTAATTAGTCAAGCAATGTTAATAAGTCGCCCCAGTTTGGCCATGTAAACTCCTGCACCCTTAATAAGCTCCCGGTGTGGACTCTTGAGGCCACAGGGAGTTGTTGCCATTAGATAGTGGAAGGCGAGGGACACATTCCTGTTTATCTCTGGTAGCCACCAGGCGTCCCCGTCTTCCGTCACCTACCTACCTACCTACCCCGTGCTATTGCCGACTTTAGATTTTTGATCGAATACGATTGCTTTAGTTCCTATTTGTTTCGAGCGGTAAAGTCTCTGTACACTGGTAGTTCGGTCTGAGGTTCAAGTCCCACGAACTGGCTGGCTGCATTGGCGTATTTATCGTTTCCCCATGTGTATACGAGCGAGTTTCTTTTAACCCTTCCTTCAGACAGATAGCCCTCTACCGCTTTGCCAAATATCAAATCAAATAAAATCAAAGCAAAACAAATCGGTTTACTTTGTTTTAACTGGTTAATTCACCTTATAAGGTATTTCTCCCGCTTTCCTAGCGTGGCATCATGGTGTAGTGGTTCTGCACGCTGGGTCGGTATTCCAGAGGTCCGTGGTTCTATTCCCGGCGAAGGCGGTTGCATATTTTTCAATCTCTCTTGCTTCCAAAAAATCCTAATGTCTCTACAACTTGAATGTGTTCTGTGTGACTCCGAACAAGACATGGCTGCTCCCCATTTGAAGGGGTATTCTGCACTGTCAACGACCTGGAATTGTTTAATAAATAATAATAGATGGACAGGTATATTTTCAAAAAAATGAGTTTATTTATTACCTCCGTAAATATCTTCTGGAAATGATAATATGTATATTTTTACATATTCTCAATCTTTTTAGCGTATCTTTAACAAAGCACGTAGCATATCTATTTTTGGAGTATCTGAAGTATCAGTAGTATTTTAAACAGGGTTTTGATACGAATGCTTAAGGAGAGGCATTAGAAAGTTGTAGCGATAGAGCTCTGGCAGCGGAGCTCGCGGTTGCTCTTTTCTCTCATTCTGCTCTTCTATGTTAATTAGCCGGCATTATTCACTTTGCTAGCCGAAATAAAATCGCGTGTTTATAATCTGAGCAATGCTTAGTCAGGCCATTTACACTGTATAGTCTTCGACTATGAATTGATTTAAATATGCGAATTCTGCTTTCTGATATCTGTTACCTCTAAGTGGTACAGTCCTGATTTGTTCGCGCAAGTTGTACTGCCGTCAAGTTCAAAATTTTAATAAGTATATTATTTAAAAACCTTCTCAGGGCTTTCGTAGATGGAACACTAACTCGTTTATGAGTCTAAGTAGTCAGTGAAGATATTTTAGTTAATTTACAAAGAGAGAATAAACCCTACATCATTCAATGATAAATGTTTTATAATAATTCTTTTATAACATTCAGACTCAACGGTGATTTATCATTCATATTTCTAATTATTGCTCTATAGATAATCCTTTAAAACGTGTCTTCCTTCTAACTTCTTCGGGAACAAAACGAACTAACGCGGAACTTATCAGGTTCAATGTTTCTTCTAACCTTCTTCGGAAACATACAATGACCTGACTAGAACAGAGAGCTTACTAAAGCTATGTTCACTAATTGTAGTAAGTAGACAGGATACAGACGAAGGGTATACAAAACCCTTTATTTTTTTCTTTATATACAATGACTTCCGTACTTCGGAATACAATGACCCTCCACTCGGGGTCTAACTTAAAAGATATCAAAATAAAACTAAACTCTAATTTAACTTTAGAATAAGATTGGCCTTATAATAACAGGAAGCGTATGTAGCACAGAGACTGTGAACACTACAATACGTTTAATTTATCAAGAGGATTAAAACCTCTGGCCTGGAAGGCAAAGTAGCAACTGCGTAACTTCTAAGGTAAGCGGCCTGCTTCGAACTCACGGCTTCCTCTCTTCTGCTTGGCAAAAAGGCCACACTTAAATACTTGGCGTTCGCCAGACAACTTTGCATAAACTCCTTCACGCTTATAATTCTGGCCGGAAGTAGAAAATAAGAAGTGATAGTAAAGATTTAAAATAAAATAAACGTTAGTAAAACTTAAGATCCTTACATACTTCCCGCCAGAGTTAATTAGTTTGAAACTGAGGTCTAAAACGACCTTGTTGAAAACTTTTAGCTCTAGAAACTAACGCGAGGCCAACCTTTTACAATCATAACTTAGCTAGAAACTAGAAAATTTTAAAAGAAAGAAATTTGTTACAATAGCAGCTCCCGGAATATACAACAATCTTTTTTCTTTTTCATCTGTACTGCATCAAAACAGGAGCTTTATTCAATTCTGGTTCCTTCCAGAGATCTGGAAGGAAAACTAGTTTAATGAAATGTTACAGAATGACATTGCAAATAACATATAGAATATACTTTTCTTAACATTCTTATTTCATTCATGACTATTTTAATTATCTCTCCCCGTGCTCTCTGACATGTGTTGTAAAAAACACCAAACACGAATGTGTTTCTGTCTATGTGTTCAACACTTCCTCCTACAATCAAAACACTAACGTGTTAAAATTCAACATACGAGACCTCTTAACACACCCTAATTTCAACTCTAGACCCTGAGGTACTATTCTGAAAGTGGCTAACTCTAAAGTGTAGCGTCAGAGAGCCTAACTACAACATCATTCAACCTTTAACACATATTCACCATGATTTAATCTTTACAGTCACACGAATAACAAATTTTTTAACATTACTTTCACTTTTACCATATCACGGTATTTCTAAACATTCAAAATAACAGTTCACATGTATACAAGAACATATCAAGATGCCGTTAATTT